CTTTAGGGATAAGTACTCATGAGCTACAGTTGACTTTGGAATTCCTAGTGCATTGTAGTTTTGCAGACATTTGTGAAAGTTCTGTTTCAGCCAAATTTAAGTTATTGTGGTGTCCCATAGACTTGAACAGTGGATTATGTTATTATTTTTAAACATATCATACTAATTTTATGCGGCCTGTTATTCACTGTGACTAAGCACAGACAATGTGTGTACTTTAGTCTTGTAGACATTACTCAGAGTCTAATGTTTAAATGTTGTGTTGTGCTACCTTATTGGTTTTTCAGTTCTCTGTCGTCATTAATTTTAATTCTATTTTCTTTTAAAATGCACTGCATCACCCATTCTAACAGGCTTCTTAAAAAACTAGAAGAACATTGAAAGTTGCACAAAAGATTTCTTTTAAAACAGAAACCCTGAGGCTTGTAAAGTGTGGCTTTGACAAGAGTTGCATTTATGTTTGCTCTAACATTTTTGGAGTAGTGTTTAATTTGCTTCTAATATTATTTAGATATTAAATATATTGCTGATAATTATTTTCCTGCCCAAAATATCTCCATTAGAGCATTTGAAATCCTTTTTTTTCAAAATGATTTTGATATTTGAAGAAATATTTGAAGGTGTGCAAAGAAACTAACTTGGCATTTTAATTTGTTTTGTCCCAGAATGCATTGTAAACAATAATGGGATGGGATTGCTTAATAATGAAGTTTTTTTTAATCCTAATTAAACAAAGATGAAAGTATTAGATTCTTATTCTAATTATTAAAACTCTTGCTGTATTGTAAGATGGCTGAAAGCATTGTGTAAAACTGGCAACCCACTAAAGCTAAGCAGGTGTGAGCCTGGTCACTACTTGGATCGGAGACCTCCTGGGAAAAACTAAGGCTGCAGATGGAAGTGGTGTTAGTGGGGCCAGTAGGGGGCGCTCACCCTCTGGTCTGTGTTGGTCCTAATGCCCCTAGATAGTGAATTTTCCAATTGGTCTTTACCAATACAAGTCCTGAATAATCCCAATCTATGAATTGGCTTCAACATTCTGTTCTCCCCATTTATAGCTGATATTGGTGAGATACTGGTGCACTGTGGCTGCCATTGCATCATTCAGGTGGATGCTGCACATCGGTAGTGGAGGGGAGTCCTCATTACCTGTAAAGTGCTTTGAGTGGAGTGTCCAGAAAAGCGCTACAGTATAGAAGTGTAAGGAATTATTATTATTATTGTGGTGTTTTTGGTTGCATGCTGCAGTACTTTTTCAATGGTTGTTGGTTTTTTTGATGCAGGCTATAGTTCTAGATAATAAATGTGAAACATACAGTAACTAGGGATTTCTACCATTATGGTTTTAATAAATGTTGATGTGGTTAGGTTTTAGGGTATCTGACTTCCCCTTAATTGAGTGGTATGGCTCTGTTGGACCTACATGCTATAATCCCTTTGCCTTTATTAGGGTCCTTCCACCCTATTTACTATACCCCGACTTATGAATTGCAGATAATAAACTTCAGTGAATCGAAATGTTGGGATAAAGATATAGACCAACCCTGGTATAATTACTGGCACACAATATTTTGGTCCATGTCCTAAATTACCATTATTTGGATTTAGCCTTTTTTCTAAACTTGCATGATCAGTGAACCGTGCTTTTCCATTCTGCCCAGTCCTTGCTATGGAGGAGCATGCTCCTCCATTCCTAACCCCTAATGCTATGGAAGAATGATCTGTGCTTATCTCCTCTTCACCACAAGGAAGAAAGAACTGTGCTTCCCCCTTCATAGCGAGAGAATCAACCATCTTTTGCTCTTCTAACCTTTAAAAAGCAAGTCCTTCCATAGGCAAACTGTCTGTCCTCCCATTGCTGTCAACTATCCCAATTAAAAAAACAGCTCAAATCGATACAGACTATTCAGGGAGACAGCTGCCCTCTTACAGCGCTAACCAGTGACTCTGCATCTATGTCTTTGAAGATAAAGGTTTTTGCATTCTGTTCATTTTTCATTACTAAAAGTTTTACAAAAATGTTTTTGCATTTCAGAGAACTGGTTTTGTTTTCCCATTCTTTTTACTTATTTTTCATTTCACACATTGTATCTCCATACCTAATGTGAATATGATTCTTGACCTAAAGAAATTGTGGGAGGCTGGTGAGAAGATAAAGATTTTGATGTTTAATGATGTTTTATTCAAGCAATCTGCAACTTCCTATTTTTAATGAAAAGTTTTACATGTAATCAGGACAGATACATCCCAAAAGCACAATTTTCCGTCATGTGAAGAATTCTTTTCACAATCCACAAGTTGATCACCTAAATGTGGTCATTCTTATTCTGATTTATTGCATCTGTGTGCCACCAATCTTTTGTTGCAGAAATAGTTCCATTTAAAGATCCAACAACTTTTTTAATAGTGACTGCTTCCCCCATCACTACACTGTATTTACAAAAAGATAAAACATAGTGCAAGGAAGACAACAATTTGCAGAATATGGGTTAAGCTAAGGTAGAAGTCTTGCAGTTTTTGGAAGAGAAGTTGAAAAAAAGTCAAAGACCAAAAACAATCAGAAGCAACGCAGACCATATTATTTTTCACGCTGTGGTATTAGAAAAGACGAGACCAATCCATTTACCTCTTATATTTGAATGCCCGATCGCCTTGATTTCCTGCAGTGAAATTTTAGGGCATTGTGTTTGGCGTTAGCTACGGAGCACAATTAATTGGACCATTGTTTTGAGGGAAATTAAATATTCATGATATTGGATACCACCTGGATAGTGAAAAGAAGTTTGTCCGGAGTTATTGTATCATGTAAAGAAATACTCTGCCTTACCTGTGATTATATTACAGATTTGGCATTTAAAAAGTTACTGCGACTAAAGAAGGGATTGTTTCAAAATGGCAAAAGAAATACAGCCAAGTTTTCTTTAAGGCACACTGCAGTGAAGATGCCTTGCTTCAGCTTCAACAGATCTTTGTAGAAGAAAAATTGTGTTCAGAGTTACCTGCCATTAAAATGGATTTGGATAAGGCTAGTTTGACCTGACAGACATCATGTTCATCTTGGAGAAACTTGTGGAGTTTTTCCTACGACGAAGAAAGACTGGATCTTACAGAAAAGGATCCTGGAAAAGCCAAAGCTACATCGTCTCAGACTCCAGGTATAGCATGTTCTTGAGGAAGAAAAACAATGCCATTTAAATATCATGTTAAAGTGATCTTAACCTATAACTGATATACCGTAGCCTTCTGTGTAGGAATTGGCTTTGGTTGTTGTTAAATTTAGTATTTCATGAGAACAACATTCATGATACATTTCTAATTTTCTACTGACAGCTTGCTTGAAAGGTTTTTACTTTAATTTTTGGTTATTGTTGACTAAAGTTTATGTTAATAAATGAAGAACTATACCAGATTAAATTATATCAACGGAATCTAAGGAACAATTATTTAACTTTCATGTGTTAGAGTACAGAAAATAGTGTATGTCCAGCAAACAGAAGACTGTAGACTTTTGATCAAAAATATTTAGAAACATATTTTCTTTATTTGTTTAAGAAATAATTTGTTTCTTGATAAAAAAATGGCCAGATTTACATAAGACGTTACCTTACCTGAATTCTCCTTAGTGAACACACCAGTTCAATATCTATAGAGGCCATAAAAATATTGCATATACTGTAATGTGATGTAAATATTGAAATCAATCTTTCAGTTACTTTTCTTGGGGAAATTTGGAAAACATAAGAATAAAATCTAAACCTGTATTTGTTATATTATCAGTTTTATTCACAGCAGCTGTATGCAGTTGGTGTTTTGTTGAATTGTCAATCCTAAATCAATCATTTGAAACAAAGGTTTTTATAGTTAAATAACACAACAAAATGCACACTAGTTAATAGTTTGGTTATCTATTGGACATTAGTGTATTATTAGAATATTAGTCATTTTTGGTTCTTATTGTGTGATTGGAGTCTGAAAACACTGGGGATACACATAAATACATATGTGGAAAATACACATTTAATATAAGAACATAACAAAGTTTGTAGAGGCCATTTGACCCATTTAGTTCATTTCGTTTTTAGACGCTAAATGATCTAAAAATCTTACCCAGTCGTTTCCTCAAAGTAGTTGTGTTATAGGTTTTTCCAATGTGGCCAGGACACAAGAATATAAAAGCAGTTACAAATGATCTAACCAACTTGATAGTTAGTAACTAATTGATCCAAAGATCTCAACCCATCTTTTCTAGAAATTAACCAGGGTATCAGCTTAGGCTTTGTGTAAAGAAGTGACTCGTGGTATCAGTTACTGCATGCAGTAAATGCACATTCCTGTAGTTTTCACCCGTGTCTCGTTTTTTCGAGTTGCTTCACATGAAGCAAATTAGGGTCAACTTTGCCTTTGAGAATGTTGAATACTTGAATCAGATCCTCTTTTGAACTTCTCTGAGACTAAAATTATATATATTTTAGTTTGTAGAAGGACATTCCATGAGTCCAGAAATGTATACAGTCATTTTTGTCTGAATTGTTTCCAGAGTAGCAATATTTGTTTTTGCATTGGTAATCAAAGCTGAAGACAATATTCTAAGTCTTACTAGTACAATTTGTACTTGTACAATTTGAAAAATATCCAGATTTTAATTCTGAACTTTTACCTGAACACTTCTGCAAAACTCAATAGAACAATAACATATACTATGTGCATAACTGTTGATTCTTGTTTTAAAAACTCTTAAAGGTCAATTAAGCAAGACCTGCCTTATCTTAATCTTTGCTGATTATCTCTAAGCATCCTGCCAGTAGGATTTTCTGAGACATAATTAATTATAATTATTGTCCCTTGCAGGGTTATGCTGCCTTATCCAGCAGTGCAGCAACACCTGTAGTTCTTTTTTGTCACCTGACCAGTCCTTCTCAAGAGCATCAGGAGACAATTCCCTGGATTCAGCCAGGTCACTCACAGATTCCTTACACATATGATGTATTATTTCTTTTCAGGCCTTTGGATAGAAAAGCCCCAGTGCTGGGCAAGACCCAGTCATTGGATAACACTCCAGTGCCAGTATCCCCTTATTCAGGGCAAGAAGGCACTGCTTTGAGGAAGCGCCGCCGCCTGCCCTGCAGCCCTGGGGGCCTTCTTTGGAACACTGCAGGTACAGTACCCGCTAGGCTGCTCTGTCACAAACGTTATTTGACCAAATTGAAACATATGCTCATTTTCAGTAAAGGCAAAGTCGAGTGCTTCACACTAGTGCAGTGCTCCACAGAATATTGCCTCATAGAAATATCAGAAATACACTATAGGAAGGCAAGTGGGAAATCGACAGTACCTCAGACTGGGTATGTATCAATATATACTACTATATTACCTCTAGTTAAACCAAACAAATTGTAGTTACATTTTGACTAATCAAATTAAAATTAAAGGTGAAAGGGGGCGTTGAATCCATGAACTTGAATTAGGATTGAACTTGAACAATCCACTCAACTAGGTTCCCATTGAAGATGGTAATCATAACTGAATAATTATTCACTAGGTAAGTATGTAAAAAGGAGTGGATATTGTCAAAATAATTTTGACATCTTCAGTGTTATATCAGATACAATAGGCTTTCTTAGTGTGTTCTAATGCCTTTCGGAAAAGAGTGAAGTTTTTATTATTAGTAATATGATGGAATTAAACTAAAGAGACATACAGTATAAGTCTAAAAAATAAGAGATGTAGTCAAACTGAAATTGATGTGCAGACTATTGTTCCCTGAAGTTCTAAAACCAGAATGGCAGTCAGCTTCAAAATTAGTTTCCAACACAACAACCAACAAGTTAAACTATGAGATGAAAACAACAACAATTAGTAGAATGCAGTCAAGTTACATAACCAGTTTGTTATATAAGATGCATTGTTCTAATTGTAATGGTAAACAAATAGTAGAGAAAGTTAAATTTCCCCCAAAATTGTAAGGTCTTCAATTACATTTCATTTTATGATTACTTTTGTGTTAAGTAATTTTCAAGTAATGTGGGTGCAGGTCTGCTCTACAGGCAGTTGTGCTTCTTTCACACTCACCATTCTAACACACTCTGTATAGTCACAAGAGACAGATACCTGCTGGTCTGGGAGTGTGTGGACCATGTGCTACCTCTGCATTGTCTATGGGTTAGCAACTTTCTTCACAAATTACATCTAAATTCAGGAAAGAAATATCTGCAATTATGCTATTCGCTTATTTTTTTTTTTTGCTGCTTATACTGTACCTTAGTCCTTACAGTTAGAGAAGCTGGGGCATTTTTTAACTCCCATGTCTTCTGTTTTGTGATTTCCTTCTGTCTGGTTTGAAGCTACTTACTGTATACTGTTTGTAAAGGTTTCATTATGGGAACTGTTGTGATCCCACTGTTTATCTTTTTTTATCCTTCCATGCTAATTGAAACAAAAATGTCATATTAGTTAGCACTTTATGAGTTTAATAAATGCACTTAGACTCAAGATTAGTGTTTGGTTAAAAGCGTTTTGTTATACTCAAAACTACAGTACAGAAGGACACTTGCTTTTTGCTTCATATTATTGTATCCTTTGCTCTAGGATTTTCAGATCAGTAATACATTAAGACATGCCTTCCCTTCTCAGACATTACTTCTGATTTTTGGATTATAATTACATTTATTCACAGCGTTAACTCTGAGAACCAGTCTGCCTACCACCAAATTTAAAGTTAATAAAACATGTTCTGTATATGTTAATTTGTATAAAATGCTCAGTAATCTGTAAAAAGTGTTTTTTTATATGATGATATGGAAACTGACAGCTACTATTGGTCTATTTTGCACGCTGTATCTATCACAATTTTATGGTTGCTATTTTAAAATCCTGTTATGAACTGCTGTTTCCAAATATGTCTTTGTTTCAGCAATACATTATACAGTACAGTTGCAAGAAAAAGTTTGTGAACCTTTTGGAATTACCTGTATTTCTGCATTAATTACTTATGTGTTCAGTACTGACAAGAAGTAAAATTGTTAGTGTGTTATTGGTTTAAGCAGATTGTGTTTGTTTATTGTTGTGATTTAGTTGAAGTTCAGACCACATTTTTATAAGTAATTAATGCAGAAATCCAGGTAATTCCAAAGGGTTCATAAACTTTTTCTTGCAACTGTACTAAAAGGCATTAAAAAGGCAACAAATGCTGTTGGTTCCAGCGTTGTTTGTCTTAGTATATGAATATGTACAGTATATACCTGTAAGATATCTTGGTGCAGTATGTATAACTCAGGAGGGAACGTACAGTATGTAATAAGCTCAAGCAGGAATAAGATAAATATTTCCTTTAGTTTCAAGTATGCTTAATGTCACATAGAATAAAATTTGCAAAATGCATAATCACTACTGTGCTATGCTTGCTTTGCCACAGCCTCAGATGGCACACTGACAGTTCATCAGCTAACAAATGATCACATAAAAAGATAAACCAGGACTGTTTTTTTAAGCACATCTTATTTTTTTCTGAAAGCACAGCAGCTTGATGCTATCAACATGCTCAGCCAACATTCTAATAGGATACAAAAAACATTGAGATATACTGTCTCAATATGTGTGCTTATGGCTGGATGCTGCAGCATATGTGGTATCATCTTGTAATCTTGTATGATTTACATAATCTTTTCACAAAACCATCCCAGGGGGGAGAAAGAGTTTGTCAGGGACTGTTAGAATCAACAGCCATGTCTGAGAATGATTCTGCTGCTGTTATGCAGCTTTAACAAATCTACAGGTGCTAGCTGACAAGTTAATTTGAATTATAGCTTCTAGATTTTTCTTTTTCCTGCTAAACCTTAGGTATTTATGCCTGTTCTTGAAAGTTGAAATGAGCAAAATATGTCAATTTTAATGTGTAACAGATACACACTTCATATTGCTGCAGCACTGATAATTGTAACTATCATTTAAAAAGAAAAGTGGTATCAACTAAGCACTGCATTATACATAGCCCAATGTGAAAATTTGTTGGTAAGAGAGCCATGCTTTGTTTTCATGTAATCAATCTGAAACAAAGGCAAGCTTTCTCTATCAACTGTCATAGTGACATGCCTTCAACCTCTGTCCTATGTGATTTTAACCTTGAAGTTTGTGATCTTTCATGTGAGCAACAGAATTGAACAGAATAGCTGCTCTCAATATACAGTACTATCTCAGCACTGTGCTGAAACATGCTTACTGTTCTGGAACCAGTAGCATATATACTGAAGCATCAGAGGCTTCCACATAAGATTTCTGCATCATTCCTTTTTTACAGTAAGAGTGAATAATCAGATTTACTGGTTATGAGATGCTGTAACCTGTGGACACTTATTGATACTCATAACATCCTAAAACTCAAGCATTTTATACAACATAATAAACAATTAATTTACCAAAGCTATTCTGTAAATGATCCTGTTACAGAAATGTGTTGAGGAAACAAGCCAACTGTCTAATTTCCCCACAGAGAAAGGGGCATTACAATTCTCTTGGTGGGTGAAGCAGGAAATCAATTTCATCATTAACCTCAGCTATGGGAAATGTGTAGAAATGCAGTTCATTGGAAGCAGATTCAGAAAATAAACCTTATTTGCTATGTATTTTATTTTACAAATTGTCAAAGTGAGTTTCTTATTTTGGAACTATAAACCTACCTTTTGTTTTACTATGGCAATAAAATCTGTTATTTCCTCTTTGTGACATTCTGTAGTCCATAAATAGGATGCAGTGGCTTGAAAGCTGGATCATATGATGGAAGACAATACCATCAAAATGCCCTCTTTCCTCATTTGCATATGTAGAATGTGATTCACTGGCCTGGAAACACCACATACAGTACTCAGCTGTTGGTGGTAGCTCTTTTCAATAGGAATGTTATTCTATTCCATTTTTCATAGTTGATGTACAGTAGGTATCTGATATAAGAGTATTTTTATTAATGCTAACTTAATGTATATGTGAGTTGTTTTATCAGTATAGTGTAGCAAAATCTGTCTCTAGGATAGTTCATTTTTACTTTCTGACAGTAATGTAGGTTTCAAGTCAACTTGAATGTGTTAGTTCATGCTGTTGTCAGGAGAACTGTTGTGTGTATCTCAAAACTATGAAGTGTTAATCTTTCTCTTTCTTATTATGACAGAAGGCAAAGCCTTCAGCTCAAAAGCAAAAACAACTTTAAAATGTTGTCAAAATCTAGACAGAGAAACAAAGAGTCCCACATATCTTTGCAGTTATTGTGCTTGCACAACTGCTGTTTTTCCTTGCTGGTTATTGGGTTATTAATATGTGGAATACATTCTTGAATAAGCCTAGTGTCAACGTTTACGTTAGATTTTATGTGTCCATTGCTATCATTAATAAATAGCGGTGTAGCTGTTTGTTATTAATTTGCGATTAGGTACTGAACATTTACCCGTCTTCTTTACTGTCAGTTTGCCCTATAATATCTATCTCTAGGATACTGCCTTTGATTATCTTTTATAATAACCAGTCTCAATTTATCTCCATTATCCAGAATCATGTTGTTTTTTTTAATTCTGTGTTTTGATGTCTGGTTTATAATACAGTTTCCATTTGTAGAGATCAAGGGGGTCTGATAATGGTATTGAAAGACTTTATGATACTGATACTTCACAGTTATATGTTTGTATTATTTGGCATTTCAATTCATTTTTTCTATCTGTGTGTGAATCCTTTGATTCTTAGTAATCCACTCACTTTATACCGTACTCTTGGTGACTTTGGTGAATGTAAGTGTATTGTAGAATTGTCAGTGTTGTCTGCAAGTTGTGACAACTTGCGAATAATAGTTTATTTTTTGTCTTTCAGAATTGTAGTTTACCAAAAGAAGCTGAATAAAATGCTGTTGCAAATCTTCTTTTGTATAATCACTACTGGGCTATGTATCAGAGCAGGAGATTAGTATTGCAATCATACTGTATATTAATTAAACCAGAGCCCCATGGAGACCTAACAGGATAATTTCTATCTATCTTTAAGCTGTATGACAAAAACAAAGGGAAGATTTGTTTAAATTCACCTAAGCATGTCAACCCTGATAGTACAAGAATGCCACTTATGGGGCATCACACCCATCAGTCTTTGGAAGGAAGAGCTCTACAATACATGTACAGTATA